TAGAAGAAGGAACACTTTCCTTCAGATTAGAGTTTGGACGATATCTCCCATGGTTAGATATCGAATGATCTTCGTGTTCGATATCCAAGGTCTCAAGCTTCTCCTTAAGCTCTGATACCAATTCAAGTATTTAAATCAAGAACAAACTTTATTTATAAGAATAACTCTCTTATTATGTTTAGAAAATCTCTCAAAACTAAACACCAAAGCATGTATTTCTCATTGATGCAACTTCATCAATGACTTACATATATATATAGTGTCTTGCACAACTTTGCTAAGCCACTTTTCCTTTTCCTATCAGAACTAGATAACTCCTAATCCAATAAGGAAATAACACAAACCCTAACTAACTACCTAACCGACTTGTTAAGTGTATTGGGCCTTGGCCTTGTGTTGATGCTTATTTAACATGGCTTTCAGTTTATTTATTGTGCCCCTATCATTCTTTTGGTCGTAAGCTTTTCATTTCTTTCTGCAATTCTTTTCTTTTGAATTCTGGGACAAGTTCTGATTAAGGAGGAGAGAGATGAGATATCCTGATCCTCAGTTCTCAAAATCGGTATATCTTTCGATTCTTAATTTTCAGTTTAAGCTGATTTAAAAATCCTTCTTAAATATTCTAAAGACAAAATATTTCCTTTATATTCTTATTCTATTATTCTTTTTTGATAATCTCAAACCTTTCTAGGTTTATTACTACTGCATGGATCTAGCATCATGAGCTAAAGACTGATCTAAGGTAAATCCTACCCATAAGAACTCTGAATTAGAGTGTCTGTTAGGAGAACAATTTCACTATATGATACAAAAGCATACTTATAAATATTGTGAACATTAATGAACTTGACTTTATTGCAAGCATTGAAAGAAGACTTGTTAAATTGTTAGAGATTAGGTAGTTAGTTCTATGAAAATAGGTTACCTATAATCCTGTGTTCGACTTTGTGGAGTTAGCTAGAATCATGCATCAAGCTTTGAACCATGTTTTGAATCAAGAATACCCTTGAGATAATCTTGTCGACCCCACATTTGTTTTACTATTGCTTACAGCCGACTTGTACTTTTATGTTTTGCATTTTTAACAATTCGTGACAACAGAAAACTCTCTTTGAAAAATCGTTTTAGACTTTCTTACTAATTCTTTGTCCAAAGTTTTTGCAGAAAAGCAATGATTCCCTGTAGATACCCTAAGCATAACATGCATCACACTTTTGTACATTTTTTATTACCTGGAGCTGAGAGACAACCCGATAGTCATAGCAGCATCAGGGGATCAAAGAAGAAAGGAGATAAAGGTCTTGAATGACAACATGGATAAATTGTTGCAAGAAACTCAAAAGGTAATCAACTATGTTAGAAAATTTTATGGTAACCAAGTGTATCAAGAGAATGGGATTAAAACTAACCAAGAGAGTCATCTAGAGGTCAACTTTGTTGGTGGTTATCAAGGAAGTTACAACCCGAACTATCGTAATCATCATAACATGTCTTATCAGAGCACAAACGTAGAGAACCTGCAAGACCTCTCCTATTGTCCTATGAAAAATCAAGGACAAGGATTTCCACAAGGGAATTTCCAAACTAAGCATCAATTCAACAACCAAGGTAATCCTCCTAATCAACATCTATCTCAAGACAACGAGGATAAACCATTGTTGCAACAGGTTCTAGAAGGAAAAACCAAGAGCTATTCAGATATAGGAAAGAAGTTTGTGGATATTTATAACAAGATATATGGAAATTACAATGATCATGATGGTAAGATTACTAGCTTGGCTTCTCATTTGAAGACAGTTAAAATCGCTTCCAATTCCAAGAGTTCAAGTGGGGTATTACCAAATAAGGCTGAAGCAACCCCGAAGGAGTATTGGAAAAATATATTCTCTAGTAATGTGCACGTGATGATGAGAATGAAAAAGCAATTGAAGAGATCTAGACTTTTCCATGGTTCTAAGGTTGCAGATTTGGTGGTTTCTAGCAAAGGGAAGGTTGAGAAGTATCTTAATAAAGAGGTTAAGGAAGAAAAATGTGGTGACAGATATGGTTGAAAGGAAGGAAATTGCTAGCATTGAACCTCCTCCATATGAGCCTAAACTTTCATTTCCTGGTCGATTTCTTACCAAAACTCAAAAGAATGTCTTCTCAAGCTTCAAGGCGAACATGAATAAAATTAGAGCACCATTTCCTAAGAAAATAACTTGTCTCAAGTTCTTCTACACCAAAAATTCATCAACGCCATTCTTCAAAACCAAGAGGAAGTGGAAGAACTCATGGGAGTCTTTGATTCAGCAAGAACAATACCACTTGAGCCCAAGTCTGTTTCCAAGCTTGGGAATCCAGGTAAATTCTCCATATCTTGCTTTTTTGAAGATTTGGAGATGCTTGATGTGATTAATGTGCAAGTGTAAATGTGATCTTGCTTGAGATGGTAAAGAGATTAGGGATCAAGGACATAAAGTAGCACTCATCCTCCATCATGTTTGGTGATGCTTCTTCAAAATATCCTCTAGGGTTGATTGAAGACTACCCTCTTCATACTGATTTCATGGTCAAGGAGATGGTTTAATCTCACAAGTTTCCATTTATTCGAGGAACTCCTATCCTTAACACTGCAGGTGCAACAATAGATTTTCCCAACAAGAGAGTGACTCTTCTACACATCAACTCCAAGGTCTCTTATCCCATCAAGGCCTCTACTATCGACTTTTGTGGCACAATCACTAATGAGAAGAATGGAAACTAAAAAAAGATTTGAAGGATCAACATGAAGAGGTCAAGGTTGTGAATGCGATGAATGATAATGCCCTAAGACTTGATGAGTATGATAAGAAAATCTCGGATGGTGAATGTCTTCACACCTTGTTTGATGTACCAAAGATGGTTTAACCATTAGTGAAGTCACCAAGAATGGAAAGGAAGAAACCTAAAGGGGACAACAAGACACAAGTTATTGAACAATTCTCCGTTTGCCTTTGATGGGTCAAGATTATGGAACAATTATGATTTGATTCATAACTTAATTCTTTTTGGTCAAAATCTTTTATTTAATGCGTATATGTGGCAATAATGTAACTCATATTGAGCTGATTCCACTTTCATGCTCAAAATAAGCTAAGAATATATTCTAAGGGTCTGACTGGTTTAAATGCAGCAGTTGCGACTGCGAGTGCAGGAGTTTGTGGAAGCGGGCGATTGCGGTTTTGAGCATTATTAAGTGGTTTAAACGACTGGTTAAATGTTTTAAGATTGATCCATTTGCGGAACATTTTTGATTGGCGAACCAGCGGATGTTTTAGCGGTTAAACATAAAATTATCAAAATAAACATCATACATAATTATAAAAAAAAAAAACTATATTATTATGCTTAATATCAAAATCACTAGTTCAAAATAATTAATAATAAAAATTATAAATAAATACTAAATAATTATTTTAAAACTAATAAATTTTATAATAACATATTTTATTTCAATTGTTGGGAACATCACCCAAAATTGTGTCTAATAATATGATAAACTAGAATTTTTTTGCTCTAATATGTGGATCTTCTGAGCAATTTGTCTTATGCATGATGTGAAATTTCTTCAATTGATCTAATCGATTTTTTGCACGACTCTAACTCGAATCAACTCCAAATTGCTTTTTAATATTTTTTAAAATATGTTCTTTATAGAGTGCACTCAAAAATCTAGGGACTAAAACTTGACAGAAAAAGTGATAAGTTAAAATTTATATATATATATATATAGATAAGAGAACATTAGTATGGTTAGAGTTTTATAATTGTTTTTAAAGTGATTTTCCATTTTTTTTCTAGCGTGATTTTTTTTAATCTAACCGCTACCGCCTGCAACTGCAAATGCTGACGGGAAGCAGTTTTTAGATTTCAGCAGTATAAAATGATACGGAATGGTTTGCAGCGATTTCTATAATTGTTATAAAACGTCACTAATCGCTATCACTTACAAACGCTGCGTTTGATGGTAATAGCGGGTAAACCAATCAATACCTAAGTGATCGTTAAGCTGGACCTATTGATGTTGCCCTTTGTTTAGGCTGAACAAAGCACATGGGTGTTCTTGAGTGGGCTGAACCTGCTTTGGCCAAGAGTTTGAGATAGATCTCGTTACTTGGCTGCTCCCGAGTTATTGTCTCTCATACACTGGTTTTTCTAGGGGTGCTTGACTCAAGTTTCTTTATTGGCTGACCATAGTTTGGCTTTTTTTGGCTCTATTTTTGTTTTTTTTTTTACTTTCTCGGTTTGTCTTTGTTCTGTGCAATTTTCTTCGTGGTTTGTGTTTAGTTTGATGACCGCACCAACTTTCAAATCTTTAGTTATTGGAAAGATTATAAGCACTAAATTTGTAGTGGATTTTTAATGATTTTAAGTTTTGGTGAAATTTCTTAATTAAAAGTATAAAAATATAAATCTTGTAGTTTTAGGTGAGATTTCATAGAAAGATAAAAACAATTCATGGTAGTTTTATCTAATAAACTCAAATCATTTTAAAACTCTTTAAAACTCAAATCCTTCAAAATCCTTAGTTATATTTTTTTTTTGTCCCAAAAAGAATCAAATTGAAATAAAATAAAAAAATAGTTTGACTTTAAAATTGAACTTATTTTCTAAAATCTAAATAAAATAAAAACTAAAAATTCAAAAACTCGAACTGGATCACCGCATTATTATTATTATTATTATTATTATTATTATTATTATTATTATTATTATTATTATTATTATTATTATTATTATTATCACGTGATCAACCTCATTATAACTTGATCCAAACTGGATTTTGGTTCAAAATTTGTTCTATATTTTCTAAAATTCGAAAAAAAAACTCGAACCCAATTGAAACCGAATAACCGAATGTCCAAACGATATAGAACCCCCTTAATCCAACCGTGTTTACTAGTTTTCTAAAATGACCGGTTCAGTGTGGTTTTTACCGGTCCGTGTTGCTAAAAAATCAAAAGAGAGAGGGAGGTAGAGAGACAGAGAACAGAGACATTCGAAGATGGAGCAAAGAGTGGAAGCAGCAGAGTATCATTCCAAGGATTTCGAATGGGAATATGTCAAAAACTTGGTAGAGAATGATCCTTCTCTCTCCCACCATCTCCACCATCAAGATCAACGTCGAGATTCCTCCTCTTCTGCTTCACCAGATTCTCAGCCATGGCAAGATTTCCACTCCCGTCACTTCTCCGGAAAATTCTTCAAGGTACACACAAACATCAATTCACCGATCGAACTCTTATATCTCGAGTCCAAATTCCTTTCTGAAACCTTCAAAATATTGATGCTATTCCCGATCCTAAATCCTATAGGTTTTCGTTTTTCTCGGTTTGAAATTATCAACATCAGTTACTTTGGATCTTATCTAGTAAGCAGATTTGTAGAAGGTAGATGCAAATAATGCAGATTAGGGATCGATTTCATAGTTAACTGAATCAAAATAAGAGAAAAAAGAGACGAGAATTGAAGAAACATCAAAGATGTGCGCAGAAATTTTGGCTCTAATTCAATACTTGTTCATGGACTGATAATAGATTTTGAGTAGAATGATTTGTTCTTCGTCTTGACTCATCCGTTTTATGCAAATGCATGTAGGAAAGAAGGTATTTGTTGAAAGAATTTCCAGAATTAGTGTCCTGTGGCGACAACTCTAAACTCTTGGAAGTCGGTTGTGGTAATGGAAGTACAGTGCTTCCGATTTTACGGTAGCTCGTTTGGTTCTTCACTTTCTGCTTCTCTTTGCTTGATGCAATGTCCAAACTTGGTGTAGAGGCTCTGTAGGCTGTCTAAAGTTGTGAAACTGTCAATCTTACTCCAAAACTCTTCTTTAATTTACAGTGGTTTGTGTTTTGTATGAGCTAATTCCTTAACTAATTTGCTGCTTAATCTTTCCGTTATTCTTATGTACCTGTATCGGTTTATCTTTGCTTTTTAGCGCAGTGGAATCAAGAACATTACTCTATACGCTTGCGATTGTATTAGTGAAGCTCTTATTAGGACTAAAGAGAGCATTACTGTATACGCTTTTTGCTTCTCTTTGCTTGATGCAATGTTCAAGTTTGGTATAGAGGCTCTGTAGGCTGTAGAAAGTTTTGAAACTGCTATATTATTTCAGAGTTGTTCTTTTACTTACAGTGATTTGTGTTTTGTATGATAATTACTTAACAAATTCGGTGCTTATTCTTATGTACCTGTATCGGTGATCTTTGCTATTTTGCGCAGTGGGAGCAAGAACATTACTGTATACGCTTGTGATTGTAGCAGTGAGGCTCTTGTTAGGACGAAAGAGAACATTGATCGCGCTATTGCTACAATTGATAACTTCCGTTCTTTCTGTTGTGACTTTTCGACGTCTGAATTCCCAAATTGGGTGGCATGTGATCGTTGTCGAGACAGCTTTATGCTTAAGCAACATTGCTACCATTCAGGTTTTGGTCCCTTGTACATAATATACACATTGATCTCTCATATACATCTTGTGTGTCTTACACTTTCTTCATTAATAGGAGACAGTGAAAGGAATTATAAATGTTCATTGAATGAACATTGCATCGGCGGGGTGGATTTTGTCACTCTGGTATGTGCACATCCCTCATTTAGTTAAGACCAAACAATGCGCTTAATGCCATATTTCTGCAGTGGATCTAGATTTGTGGGTCATCAAATGATTGTTTTAATCTAGTAACAAGATAGAGGTTAAATCCATATATCTTTCATGTTCTATGATCTGATTCTTAACCATTAGACATAGCTCATTGAAACTCGGTTTGTTATGTTATGTCAGATTTTCACGTTGTCCGCAGTGCCTAAAGAAAGGATGCCGAGAGCTATCAAGGAATGCTTTGCTGTGCTGAAACCTGGTGGTCTACTCTTGTTCAGAGATTATGGTAATTATTAAATCAGCATAAAAGGTCATGGTTACATATGCTATACAAATAAGGAGAAACTAATAGGCTTTAAACACTTTGAATGAAAACTAAAATCCAGGATTATACGACATGACTATGCTGCGGTTCGAGCCAGAGAAACGTATCGGTTTTAGGGAATACGTGCGGTCTGATGGCACCCTTTCGTATTTCTTTTGTCTCGACACTGTCCGGAGACTGTTTACCAATGCTGGATTCATTGAGGTAAACTTTCTTCTCCCTGTTCTTTGTTGTCTGATTGATTTATTGGTGTTCAGTTTTCTATTTATTCATATGTTTCATTCTATGATAATTTGTGCAGAATTAAACTTTTTTGGATTTTTATAGCTAATTTTAAATAGTTTGATCTTGTGTGCAGGTTGAGCTTGAAAATTGTTGTGTAAAAGCAGTAAACCGGAGAAAGGGTAAAAACATGTACCGAGTTTGGGTTCATGGGAAGTTCCAAAAGCCATTTCTAAACCAAGATTGAAAGGCAGGTGTTGTTGGTCCAGTATAGAATGACTGGTCAATTTTTAACGAATGCTACACTAAAGAATCTAGGAGTATGTAAAATTAAGAAATTCCAATACAGAATTTTGATTTATCTCAAGACATTTCGTTAATTGAAACCTCACTTGCTCATATAGTTGAAATCATAATCATAAAATACAAATCAAAGCAGTGGTTTGAAAAAAGGTCCAACTACAAAGAAGAAAAGGCGAAAGAAGTCCTCAAAGCAGCAAGCTCAAAGTAGATCGTGTTGATGCTACTTATGAATCTTATCTTGATTACAGAGGAGAAAAGCTTGCCGACGCGATACAAATTGGGAAGAAAATCAAGCAAAAAATTGAAGAGGAAACGCTCTTTGAAGATTGTGGAGTCCCAAGTTGATGTTAACAATGCTGCTCTGGAGACCCCTCCCATCAATACCACCAGCTAAGAAGGATACTGAGAGTGATGCTTCACATTTGAAAACATGTTTAGAGGTCGCTGATAATACTGATGATATTAACCTTTCCAATCGAATTCTAAAAGAGAAGGCTCATGATATGAGAGACAATCATGGTTCTAGCCAAAAGGAAGCTATTGTTTGTGTAAGAAGCAAGATCAACTGACTAATTTGCCTCGTGGCGGTTCCATTGACGTTTTATTAAGCTCAATGAAACCAAAAGAGAGAACAAGCTAGTTCAGGTACTAGTTTTTTTGCAGTCAAGGATTAAGAATGGTCGCAGTGGACATTCGTTTGTTGATCTCAATCTTAGCTACACAAACTAAGGTCATAGACTTCTTTGTCTGTCTTGTGGACATGTTTTCGGGTAGCCTTCAAAATATCCTGAGAAGCTCAAAAAGTTACAAAATGGCAAAACTGGCATATTCTCCCATGTTTATCGATTAATTGATAGTGTTTGGTTCCTTAATAAACTTGATTCTTACATGAACAAGCACCTAAAATTTGTAAGTACATTGGTTTAGTTTAACTAAACACAAGTTTCTAGAGGCTTAAGTTTTCTTGGACATATACAATAGAGTGACAATATCTACGGGGGTTATCTTGGTTCTAGCAGTATCTCATACAGAGAATATGTATTATATTATGCCATAACGAAGTGGAAATATGTATATAACAAAAAACTTTGTATAAGCTATTCTCTTGAATCAAGCACTATCTGAGAAAGTATTATTTGGCAAAGCCAATTGGTACAATGACCAAGTAATAAACATTACAAGTTCGGTTAAACCAACCATGCATGTCCAATCCAATCCATCCAAAGGAGAGTGTCACAGAGAGAGAGAGAGAGAGGGAGAGAGATAAAATTACAGAGTCTGAAATCAACGGTGAGAATAAGGCAAAGACCCTGAATAAACATACCCGGATGTTACCGATGAAGGCAGAAGCTCAGATTCAGGGAATCTACTACGCGATGATCGGTAGTACTCAGCCAATGAATCCGCTGTAACATACCTGGAATACAAATCATCGCCTTCTCTTCCCGAAGGAGCCAGGTATGTTCTTGATGGTCTTTCCGGAGAACGGTACTCGTATCTGTAATACGGGTCTCTCCTGTATGAGTCCAGAGCAATAGCTGATGAAGCTTGTGGCTCAGGAGAGTTTCGAGCTAGGATTTCCCTTCTAGAACTTAGAAGTTCATACGGGTGGTAGTCTCTCTCAGGTAAATGAAGAGAACGTACTTCTCTACGGTCATGCCTCTCCATCTCTGCATGTCTCAAAAGACGCTCATGGTCCAAAAGACGCTCATGGTCCACAGATGGACGGTAGGAATCCAAAGGAACACGGTCTCGGTAAGAAGAATCAGGAGGAGGAATTGGGTAATGCTGGATTGTTTCTCCTCTTCTTAAGCCGTATTTCCGGTACTCTCTTTCACTGAGATATAAATCACGAGGTGGTTCTTCTCTGCGTGGAGGAGGTGAAGCATTGCGGCTCCTTTCATGAGTGCGGGTAAGGTGAGTTCTGCTGCTGCCAGGAGCATAACGGTCTCTGTTGGATCTTTTCTCATCAACATCACGGGGAACCAGGATTGGCAGAGTGTGGGTTAGTTGTGTAGGGAGAGGAGCTGGTCGGAAAAGCTTTGTAAGCTTGAATACCTTAAGAACACGATAAAAGAAGAGATGAATATGGTTTGGAAGAATGATAAAAATTTCAGAAAACGAAAATGTGCTTTACCTGCTTACGAGTCAATTCTGTTTTGAACTTGTTTCTGTTGTTGTAGTTCTCCTTTATTGCGTTCTTGAATTGGCTCTCAGGCAACGGTAAGCAATCTCTAACGACCTTAAAGCGCACCTGAAAAATGCACAGAATATCATCAAACTACACAAGATAAATAAGCTATGACAAACAAAATGAACGAAAAAACGCATATCATCTAAAATACTAGTAGAGGAGATGATATTTTCATTTTTGAAAAGAGGTGTCAAATGAAGTGTCTAGCAAACATGGGTGTAGCAATGTTACCTGAGCGGGAAAGGATCCACCAAAAGCATTGCGCTCAAGTTTCATCCCACCCGCAGAGGATGCTTCAAAAACTCCATAGAGAAGTTTGAGATCGTAGTCATAGAGAAAAAGCTTAATCCCAGGCTTGATACTCATGACATAATCTTTCCTTTTCTCTTGTACACCCATCACACTGAACCGAAAACAATCGGGTCTAGTTTTCGCATTGCACATGAAGATCAATCCAGCAATCTTCTCTTTTCCTTGCTCAGCCATTTCCCTTTTCTCAGGGTCAACAGGCTGCTTTTTGCCCTCGTCCACTCTTTGCTGAGTTACATCTCCAACAGCTACTACCTCGTTCCTTTGTTTCTTGTTTGAATCTATAACCTTTTTTCCCCCTCTCTTCCTTTTGCGTCTCTTGCCCTCAGCCAAGCCAGTTTTATCCAAATTTTTTTGTTGGCCTCCTTCATTAGTATTCACATCCAGCGAATTGGATTTCTCAACAACATTGCTTTGCTCGTTTACAGCTAACAAGTTGTTATTCTGCTCCAGCTTAGGAGTTCCATTATCACCTACGTTTTTAGCTAACGGTGCTGCTAGAGTCTTTTTTAGTTTGGCATTCCTTCTCAGTTTTTTTGGTTGTTTCTTTTGCACTGACAAAACTTTTTCAGGGGCTTCAACAGAAACATCAATAGCTTTCTCAGCTTCCATCACGTTTCCTCCTGAAGAAGCTCCGGTGTCTCCTTCCTTAGATCCCTGAGCAAAATTGCCTTTGACTTTCTGCCCCTTAAGCAATCTCTTCCCAACACTCTTCAGAGTATTGGCTTTTCCCTTTACCTCTTCTAGCGTTTTTTCACCTGAAGGTTCGGCTCCAGAGACATTTTCATCATCATCTTCAGGAGCTTCTGCAGATTCTTCAAGTTCTTTCTTAGATTCCATATCATCTTCTCCAAGAGAAGTTTCGGAATCTTTTTCTTTTCCAGAAGAACATTGAGGAGAATCTGCAACAGACTCTACAACCTTCTTTGTTTCGTTTTCGCTTTCACCAAAAGAAGGCTCTGCACTTTGTTCGTCTTTCTTAACACTTTCTTCTACAGTGACATTCTCTTCACCAGCCACTTGAACAGCAGAGCCTTTTACGACTTTCTTTTTCACTAGCTTCTTAACTTTCTTAACAATCTTCTTCTTCGCCAGTAATCCCTTTGGCTTTTCCATTCCAGAGGAACTTGCATCAGCAGAAGCAAGAACAGAGGGTTCTTTAACAGTCCCATTCTCTGTTTTATTTTCCTCAACAGAACCAATAACAGAGGGTACTTTTGAGGCTGTGTCCTCCAGTTTCCCATCCATGGAAGTTTCGACAGACTTCTCATCTTCCTTACTTTTTTCTCCAGCAGAGGTTTCTACAACCTCATTCTCATCGTTTCCAGCTTCAGCTTCAACCACCACTTCCCCATTCTTCCCGGCATCTTTATCATTCCCAACTACCGTGGCCTCAAGAGTTATCTCATTCTCAACAACCGAGGCCTCAAGGGTTTTCTCATTCTCATCTTTCTTAGCATTTCGTAGCTCCATTATAAAGAAACAAGCAGATTTCAATGCTTAATCGCTGCAAATAAGGTTTTAAATTAAGCTACCAAGGAGCATAAAACAAATGGAAAAAGTCATAAATCATAGTAAACGGATCAAATCAAAAGGATTTTAAGCTTCAAGCTTAAACGCTAAGCAACCGGAAGAACCCACATGAACTCAACATGGATAAGGAAACCGAGAGGGCTAATTAACCAATAAGCCACCAGCGATGCAACAAGGACTTAATATGGATAAAGAAACAGATAAACAAAACTTATTACGCCACATGAACTAGCTTAGAGAATGACAATCCAAACCTTGTCAACCACACAGAAAGGCACAAAATTGCAAGCAACGATCACGAAAGTATCAATTGTTGATACGACACTTCACAAGTCTTCCCTGAAACAAACGATTTCTATTCAAAGGAGGCAACGCAAAAACTTGGGAACGTAACAAAAAAGGCACAAAATTGGAGAAGGTGGTATCGAAAGTATTGATTTTTACTACATATGGCATCGAAAGTACCGATTATTTTTTATGTGGGTAACAGGGAATCCAAAAGAGAAGTAAAGATCAGGAAAAAAAAATCAAATTCTAATCCAAAGCTTCAGATCAGATCGGTAACACGGGTCAGTAATCTCCAGCAGACCGAAATTTAGGATCGAATCATAAAAGGATTTGAGAAGCATACCTGAATCAAAGAGGATCAAGCGACAGAGAGAGAAATTCTCAGAACTGTGAAACTAATTGAGAACTGGGGCTTTTTAATTTTTAGGGATAATTTTTAGGGCTGAGAGATAAGTTAGACGAAAGAAAAAAAAAAAAGAGTCGAAAATATTTCGTGCTGTTAACTGTCGTTGTATCCTAGTATTTATATATTACTAATAGATAATCCATATTTCACGGATAATTTTGTATTATTATTTATTGATATGATTAAAAATTTTCCCGCGAAATTTTGTATTATTATTTATTAATGTTATTTATAAAATATATATATTATTAAAAAAAAATTTGATGAAATTTGCATTTATAAACAGTTATATAGAGTTTTTCAATATATAATTTTTAACAGTTTTATAAATCATGTCTATTATAACCTTTGAGTTTTGAATATGAAACCCTTATAAATAGTTGACATTATTCGGATAAGTGTAATCGTTATATTCAATCGCTCTCTTCTCTCTCCTCAAGGTGATTGAGAGGCGATTCTAAAAAGAACAGTTTTTCTATTAAAAAAATAATTCTTCACGGTAATTGATTCATGAAGCTTCTCTTAAACAGTTAGTGATTGAAGAACCGAGGTTCCAGTGGTGATCATGACGGCAAGAGTGTTGTCACCGATCGTGAAGTAGAATTGAGATCCGTTTCTGATGATTAGAATCATGAATTCATGATGTTCTTTACCAGAGGGCATCCAAATCACATTTATTGTACTTTCTGGGTGATTATTTTTCGATTACTAATCATATTTCTTCAACCGCTCTCGATAATGGATTTTTTACATGGCAGTGTGGAGCAGTTTCTTTTTACGATCCACTACGCATACATCTCAGGCATTGGTTTTTTCTCTGTGCACGATGACGCTCCATCTTCATTGAGATCTTCACTTCTATTCAGATTGTGAAATGAGAAACATATGTATATAATATGCCTTGAGACTATTTTGTCTCATCGGTATCTTATACAAAAATCTAACTGTCCTTATTCAGTGGCTGAAGATGTTCAGGTAATGATGTTGATGGATTTTTGTTTCTTGGTTATTAGAATTTCTCACATTCTATTCGTCTCCACCTTTTGGTTTGGAGATGTAATTTGGGTATTCGATCCTGGCATCATCGGAATTGAGAGAAATAATGAGCGCACACCACTTGAAAGAATAAAATCTAGATCGACTGAAATTGGAAGGATCTTAAAGCCATGTTGGGATCCTGAAAAATCGTATAGATGTCTCTAGGTTGATTTTTTATGTGATTTTACTTTGCTGATCATGGCATTATTATGGAAACAACCACCATGGAGGAAAGGACGGTTTGGAATAGAAGATGCATCTTTGTTGTATGACGACATTCGTATAGTCGTTGAAAGTTGGTAATCTCAAATTATATTTCTTTCGAAAGAATCGGTAAATTGGATTCTTATTCGAATGACATTTTTAGCTCTTATTTGGGAATGAGTCAATGTAATACAACAAAAGAAAAGATGGATAGCCAAAGATGAAAATCACATCAAAAATAATGCGATTATAAGGAAGAAAAAGATGGACACTCTTCTAGCGAGTAAAATCTCTCGGGTAAAAGAATGGTCAACATTTTCTTGTGGTTTTATCCCCTTGTATTTTTACCTTTCTATGTATTTTATTATTTTATGTATGTTTATGCAACTTGATTTTTATATAAATGAATGGTCAAAATTTAAGATTTCTTATTTCATTTATTTTTTTTTGGCTAGGTCAAGGTTTCATATATGGGATAAATTTAAAATTTCATTGATTTTATGTTTATTTTCTTTTGATTCTTAAAATAAGAAAAATATTTTTTTATATGCATTTAATACTTGGACACTTTTGTCAAATTTTCATTAGCTTTTTATATATAGAATGAAATATGAATTTATTAATTTTCTGCTTTTGTTTTTTTTTTGTTAACTCGTATGCTTACATTTTTATGATTTATACATTAATAAAATTCAAATGAATTGATTTTATGCATGCAAAAAATAATTGGACACATATCAATTTTACACTGTCGTCTCAAAAGATATCAACCAGTGGAGAGTTCAATTCATATTTCATATTTTATTAGGTGTTTAATCCGCGCCTTGCGCAGACCTAAGAGTTTAAAATAAAGCGTATGGCGAAAAGTTTCAAAAACGTAAACCAAAACTTTTCGTTATAAACCGTTATAAACCAAAGAGAAATATAAAGACATACATGATTAAAATAAAGTTAACCAAAAAAAGTACATACCATCAAAAATTAAACACCCAATAAATAATAAGTGTTATGAATTTTATAAACCAAAGTATTGTCTTCAACTCCACATAATCGTTCTTAGTTTTCTTCTATTTCTTTTTTTTGTTTTGAGCATGAAAAGTTCAAAAGTCTTACGGTTCTTTTTCTCATTCTTGTTTGAGTTATTATTCCTTTTCTTGGATTATTTTGTCTCATCTTTAAAATTATTATCTTTATTTTAAACATTTTGGTCTTATCTGTCTTCTTATTCTTATTCGGTCTTTATATATATATATTTTTTTTTGGGCATTTTTGCGGATATATTCTATATTTTTCTTTATTAGCATCATGATTTTCTTCAATTTTCTTTTTGGTTTTTTTTGTTCTTCAATTTTTTCATTCTCCAAGAAATCTTTTGATAACATGGATTCCTATTTCTCAATTGTATCCCATGATCAGTGACTATTATTAAATAAATAAGATATAATTTTAATTAACTAAATATTAATTTTCTCTATTTTTTTGTCATACATCAACTTTCAGTTTCCATCAGTTTTACAACGTCTTTAACTTTTTGTGTTTTTTTTCACGTATTGAGTGGCAAATAATTATATTATTTTGTGAGTAATTATGATAAGTTAGTAATTAGACTATTTATCATATATTGAGTGTTATATATATTTTAATTGATGTTATTTTAAATTTTCCTACCATAAATTTTAAAATTCATAGCACATTTACAAAGAAGATTTATAATTAAATTTTTATGTAATTTGTTCAAAAATCAATCAATCGCAATCATAATGCTCGGAACATTAATAATAAAGTTTTATTCACTTTCAAATTTTAATTACGAATGGTTCTCTAATTCTTTTTTATTTACTCCTTGCTGGAACTCTTTCTCCATTTTGTTGTTGTAAGTGTCTCTTTTTCTAATTGATTCTTATCATTCTCTAAAACGTGGACACGAAATTACTTATTTAATTCTATTTATGGATGGTTCTCTAATTTTTTTCTATTTGCCCATCGCTGGATCTCTTTCTTTAAGTGTCTCTCTTTCTAGTTGATTCTCATCTGAAACGTGAACATAAAATTACTTATTTAATTGTATATTATCTACTTGTAAAAATAAGACTACAAGATCATAAAATTATTATGTTGACTACATTATAGAATCATATATAAACAGTTATCTTATATATAAATTATTTTTCTTCTTCTACTAACATTCGGTTTGTTTTCGTCTGCTCTATTATTCTTCAGGTTTTCTTTGTCCGGTCTTCATCTTTTTTTTTTTTTGTCGACAGCCCAAATACCTAGAACGGTTCGATTAACCAAACTGGTAGTACTGAATTTACATAAATAACATCTTGAAGATAGACCAAAGCATTTCTTGCTAGATTGTTTGCCTTCAAATTCTTCGCGCGTGGGATATGTGATATGCAAAAATAGCTAAATCTGTCATTCATCTTCGCAATATCCTCTAAGTGTAAAAAAAATGCTGGCCATTCGTCGGGTGTAGAAATCATCTTCACCAAATCCAAACAGTCTGTTGCAAAAGCTATTGCCGTCTTCTGGTTCTCTAGCATACAGTGCATAGCCCAGATAAGGACTTCCACCTCCGCATGCAAAGGCGTAAGACTTCGCCTTACTTTTTCGGAACCTATAATTTTGTCTGTAGCATCCTCCCATAATGTCGTCTCTGTTTCCGCTATTTTCAGTGTAATTCGTGGATCTATATCCATATTGGAAACTACTTTCTCATTTCTTGCCTTCCAGATATACCATGCAATCCATGGAACTTGTGTACCTCTTATCTCTTTAGGAATTCTCCAGTTTAGATGATCCATATTTAAATAAACCAATGTCATTGGAAAAACACCTGAGGGTATTGGTATTTGGGATAATGCCCAAATTTGCAAACCTGGGGAACATTTAAAGAAGACATGATTAATGGTTTCTTCATCACTGATGCAGTTAGGGGGTGTCAAAATAGGTCATCCAATCTAATCCAACCGATTGTCAATCGGTTAAGCGTTAACCAACCCATTTGCTACATAGCGCTCTGTAACTAACCAAATGAAACTAAAGAGTAAAGACAGATCTATTTTTATGGAAATCTATCTTTTACTTATTAATAATTACAAATATGGAATATCTATTGAGATATCAAAACAAAATTTTTTCAGAAAGTATTTGAAATCATAAATTAGATATAAGGTAAATCAGGTTATATATCTCTCTATATATGTTAAATTTGTAAGAAATATTGAATTTTTTATTTACAAACAATGAAAAATCATTAAAAAAGACTCAAATGTTTTTTCGTACCTTTTTTTTTCTGAACGGCAATATTTTTTCTTACCATAAAGTAAGATTTACAAACCATGATGTAACTAAGACTTTTTATCTATATATATGTTACAATCCATGTCCCGTGATATAGAACTTCCTCTAACATTGATTCGAACCCTACTTCTCTCTTTCTCTTCAGTAAGATTGAAGTCTAATCTACTAACGAGTTTGCAACAACTCCGAGCAACGATATATAATGGCAACCAAGAAATCTTCATCTCTTTTATTATTTTCATTTATGGTGTTTGCTCTCTGCCTTATGCCAATGATTTCAGGTAAATATTTAGTTAGTTATTAAATGATATCTAACACAAAGGAAAACAAACATTAATGTGGTTATATTTGTATTTACATGTTAAAAAATTATGATCACGATTCAAAGAAAAACAAGATATTTGATTTTCATACAAAATTTACAAATAAGAAGTAAATTACAAATTTTGTTATTAATAATCAAATAGTTTTATAGAATTTAAATCCAACCAGTCAACCACAGTCCACTATTATTCAATTATTAAAATCAAATGTTATTAATTTTTTAGGCTTGTATTTAGTATTTTATGAAATTCAGTTCAGTTCAGTGCACGGAACGCCACTTTTCTTTTTTTTTTTGGATGTGGAACCTCTTATAATGTTGTAAAATTAGATTATGGATCACATTTTGAGTTAAAACAAACCTTCTATAATTTGTATATCCTACATAGCATAAAAGAATGGAATCAAAATCAGAAACAAAAACGTGCACTAGTTTTTTTTTAATTTATTTGGTAGTGCTTTTGAATTCTTGTCAATATGTTTGTTTATGAACTAAACAGGACAAATGATACCATGTCTACCTGGAGAATGTACAAAAGCAGCAGCATGCGATGTAGCTTGCAAATCTAAAGGATACAAAGGAGGGGCTTGTATAATGATGAGTTTTGGCGCAAAGACTGGTGCTTGTTGCTGCAAAGCTAACTTTGAATCTCAGGATTTTTCCAAATCTGATGATACCAATGTCCGCATTACTAATTAATTCATCATCTTATATAAAATGTACTTTTTATTATAAATAAACAAAAACAACATACATAACTGAAAATGTGTTAGGGTATTAATCTATATATTGAAGAAGGGCCTCATGTTAGACGTTTTATATTTCTTGAGATCCAAGCCGTAAGGTAATCAAAATTTATTGAGATCCAACTTCAAGCCGTAAGCTAATCAATGTTTATTGAGATCCAAGCCATAAGCTAATCAAATGTACTTGAGATCCAATCCATAAGCTAAGCAAAATTGTTTATTCACGAGAGTGATTCAAATATCTCTAAAAACTTGTTTGGTTCTTCAATTTACGGATATGTAATATGGTTACATGTAGTACGTACGAAGTACGGACAGTTATTCATAATTAATTTAATGTATATCTTACTCTTGCGGTCTTGCCATACCAAACTTGAGAAGATTTTCGTTTACCACGATTACAGATTTTTAAGTAACTTATAGTCTTATTCCAATTAGATTTGGTAAAAAAAAAAAATTACAATTGATGTGTATAAACATTAATAACTATTTGGTCAAACTGAGAGAACTTTCACATAGGACTTGTTTTCTTAAAACTTTAACGTAACCAATCTATAGTGCCAATTTGGAAAAGTACAAAATTATACTTTTATAGATGGACATTTTTGTACTAAATGCCCAATAAAAATTTTTCTCAACAAGCCCAATAACCCTCTTTCTTTTTGTGACGTCAACCCAATAAGGATTTTTCTTTTTCTTTTTTTGACATCAACAAAATATAATAGTAGTGATGAACCCTTTTATTTAAAAGCAAATAAACAACGAACAAATCAGATGCCACCGAGAAAGAAAATAGCTTTTTGATCGATCGTTAAATCCTAAGAATGGATCTCAAGTCGCCGGAATTTATCATTGACCAGCCGCTTCACATATTGGGATTCGTGTTCGAAGAGCTCACCGCCACCAGAGTTTCTGGCCACCTCACCGTAACTGACAAATGCTGCCAGCCGTTCAAGGTCTTACACGGCGGCATATCCGCTCTGATCGCCGAGGCACTCGCCAGTCTCGGCGCCGGAATCGCCTCTGACTATAAACGGGTCGTCGGTATCCATATCTCCATTCACCATATCCGACCTGCTGTCCTCGGCGATTCCATCTTTGCCGAATCTTTTCCGGTCTTCGTCGGCCAAAAATATTCATGTACTTAACCTACCTAAACATACACTGTTCACGCGTATTTTAATGCATTTTTTAAATACATTTATAGTATAACGACCTGAATCTAAATTTATTAAAACGTTAACACAAATAGTATAATTTTGCATTCTGACAAGTCATTTTTTTTTTCAGTATTAGCTAGAGTGACAAATTTACTCATCAAGTCTATTTTTTTCATTCAAAAGAAGTTTTTTTTTTTTGTCAAAAAGAAGAATATAACCAGGAACGTATCAAAAAAGTTGAAATATGAATTTGGTGAAACAATAATGTGAGGTTTTACCCTCCAATCGCGCAATTCAAAGAACAAGAGAAAGAAGATAAGCGAGCTAAAAACGAAAGACACATACAGTTTTACGAGTTCGGGGCAATAACCTGCACCCTACGTCTCGCCGGAAAGATTCCGGAATCCACTAGAAACAGATCGTATCAAGTACAACGGATTTCTCTCTTCTCTCTCTCTAACCCTAATTTCTCGGGTCAGCTTCTTCCACTGGATAAGAGAGATGAACCTAGAAGATTATATGGCTTTATACTTAGCCAATTACATTAGCTCCTCACATGTGCACGCAAACACGTGCGGAGTAAACCTGATCTAAACCGATTCCAATCTTCCTTATTCCGGTTAAGGACACAACCTTCAAATCTCCACCTTGTCCTTAACACTGTCTCTAGCCTTTAACTTGGATTCCCTTTCCGGTACATGAGTAAACCCACCCATCTTCTTTTCCTCCTGAATAAACCCATTCAGCTTTAACTTCCTCTGAGTAAACCCACTCAGCTTCTTATTCCTGAGCTTAACCAGCTCAGTCTTCAGTAACTCTTAGCAGCTTCAAAGCACTCTGAAGCTTGCTAACTGGTAACACTTTTGTGAAAATATCTGCCGGATTATACTCTGTTGCAATCTTAGACACTGAAATTGTCCCATCATCAATGAGATCTCTAATGAAATGATACTTCACTGCTACGTGTTTGGTTCTTTCATGGTGCACTGCATTCTTTGCTAACGCTATTGCACTCTGAGAATCACAACTAATGTCAACTGCTCCTTGATCGAAGCCCAGCTCGTTCATAAGTCCCTTTAACCAAACTGCTTCCCTTGAGGCTTCACCTAGAGCTAAGTATTCGGCTTCAGTGGTAGAAAGAGCCACGACTTTCTGTAAGAAAGACTTCCAGCTAATGACATTCCCACCAACTGTGAATACTAGACCAGTTGTTGATCGTCTCTTGTCAAGATCTGCTGCATAGTCTGAATCGCAGTAACCTTTCACCACGAAATCACCTTCCCGTTTGAAGTATAGCTTCTTCTTAAGCAATCCCTTCACATATCTCAATATCCACTTGACCGCCTGCCAATGTTCTTTCACCGGTTTACTCATGTATCTGCAGACCAATCCTACTGGATGAGCTAAGTCTGGCCTGGTACCGATCATCGAGTACATGAGGCTCCCTACTGCACTCTGATAAGGAATATTTTTCATATAATCACTCTGCTCTTGAACTTCTTTATCAGTAGCGGTCCTCATGCGGAAATGAACTCCAAGAGGTGTAACAACAGGTTTACATTGATCCATGTTAAACCTTCCTAACACCTTTAACAAATACCCTTCTTGCGATACTGTTAGAGTTCCCTTGACTCTATCTCTAGAAATTTCCATGCGTAGGATTTTCTTAGCATCTCCTAAGTCCTTCATATCAAATTCCGAGCCTAGCAACTCCTTCAACTTACTATCTAGCCTTATATCCTTAGAGGCTATCAAAATGTCGTCTACATAGAGTAAAAGGTATATGAAGTTACCTTGATACTCTTCCTTGTAGTACACACACATGTCAAGTTCGCTCCTTTTGTAACCATTCGCCTTCATAAAATCGTTGAACCTTTTGTTCCATTGTCGCGGAGACTGCTTTAACCCATACAACGACCTTTTGAGAAGACAAACTCTATCTGGATATCTTTTGTCAACATATCCCTCAGGCTGCTCCATATAGATTTCTTCATCTAGGAACCCGTGTAGAAACGCCGTCTTTACGTCGAGCTGTTGAAGCTCCATGTTGAAATGAACAACCATCGAGAGAAGAAATCTGATGGAGACGTGCTTTACAACAGGGGAGAAGATCTCTTGGTAATCTATTCCCTCCTTTTGGGAATATCCTTTAGCCACCAACCTGGCTTTAAACCTTGGTGCTTCAACTCCCTGAATCCCTGCTTTCCGTTTGAAGACCCACTTGCATCCGATCGGCTTATGTGATTTCACTCTGTCAACTAGATTCCAGGTCTGGTTCCTCTGAAGTGAAATCATCTCTTCATCTGTAGCTTCCAGCCATTTCTCACTGTCTTCGTCTATTAACGCCTCTTGAAAACATGTAGGCTCAGTCTTGCCACCATCTTCTGTGACCAAATAAGCATACCCAGCCACTTCGTCAAGATCTGATTCTGATTCACCGTAGACTTCGAAATCATTGAACTTAGCAGGTAGCCTTGTCTCTCTCCGAGGTCGATCCCTGGCCAACTGATAGTTACTCAGGTCTGGTGTAGACGACTGGTCAATCTCGTTTAAAACGTCACCTTCTGAGTCGTCTGGGGAATCAGCTCCACCTTGAACTGAACTCTCACCTGAAAAGTCAAAACTAGAACTTTCATCAGTAATAAAAGTAAGAGTTCTAGGGGTACCTTTGTTTAAATCGGCATTGATGTCCTTGTACATAGTGTCTTCTTTGAATACTACGTTTCTGCTGATGACACACTTGTCTTCCTCAGGTAGCCATACTCTGAACCCTTTAACACCCTCTAGATAAACCGTAAAAATGCCTTTCTTAGCCCTTGGACTAAGCTTTCCCTCACTTGAATGAACATACACCACGCATCCGAACCTTTTAAGGTTGAGAAGACTGGGCATTGCTGATGTCCACAATTCTTCCGGAACATCGAAATCCAAAGCGCTTAATGGAGTCCTGTTAACTAGATAAACTGATGTAGAAGCCGCTTCAGCCCAGAACCTTTGTCCCAACCCACTTTCGCTCAGCATACTGCGGACCTTGTTCATAATGGTGCGATTCAGTCTCTCTGCGACCCCATTCTGTTGGGGTGTGTAAGTGCAGGTTCTGTGCCTAACTATACCCTCATCCCTACAATACTGATCAAACCGTTGATTGCAGAACTCAAGCCCGTTATCTGTTCTGAACTTCTTTAGTTTCTTCTCTGATTGCTTTTCAACCATAATCTTCCACTCCACAAATCTATGGAACACCTCATCTTTGGTCTTCAGGAAATATATCCAAGCCTTGCGGGACCAGTCATCTATAAAGGATATAAAGTATTGACACTTGCCTAAACTAAAGGGAACATTAGGTGAACCCCAAAGGTCAGAGTGAACATAATCTAACTTTCCCTTAGTTACATGTTGACCAGTCCCAAAGGCAGTCCTATGTGTTTTGCCTATCACGCAATCTTCACAAAACTTCAAGACTGATACTCTATCCTTTCCAAAAAAACCTTTCTTCACCAGGACATCTAGACTTTTCTGTCCTAAGTGCCCTAGTCTACTGTGCCAGAGTTCAGTTTGATCAGTTACCTCCACATCACACGATTCCGAGGCTTTTGCAGAACCTTGTAAGATGTATAGGGTATCTTTTCCCTTCCTTGCACCCTTCATTATTACTGAGCATCCTTTAATGACCTTAATCATCCCTTTAGCTCCTTTGAACTCACAGCCTTTCTCCTCTAGTGTGCCCATGGAAATGAGATTCCTCGAAATGTCAGGCATATACCTTACTTCTGATAGGACGAACGTCGTTCCATCTGGGTTCGAGAATCTCACCAAACCAATTCCTTTAACTTCACAATGTGAACTGTTCGCCATTCTGACTCTGCCTGAATTTACCTCCTTGAATTCAATGAAGATATCTCTTCTAGGTGTCATATGAAAGGAGCAGCCAGTATCCATCACCCACTCTTCCTTGTCAGACTCTTTAAGTGACAGATTCATTTCAGATGCAATTAACCCTGCGATGTCTCTGACTTCTTCATTTGCCAAAGATGATTCACCACTCTCGGATTGCATCTTATGCTTGTTCCTTTCCAACCATTTGTAACATTGCTTCTTGTAATGCCCTTCTTTCCGACAAATCCAGCATATCTTCTTGCCTTCTTTCGATCTAGACCTAGACCTGTTCTGTTTCTTGTTCTGAGAGCCCCTAGACTCCGATCTTCCCCTGACATAATAACCTTCTGAAGACTTCGAAGTAGATGGATTTGATTTAAAATCCTTTTCCTTAGATCTCGCAGAACTAGCAATATCCTCAATCTTGATTGTATATCTACCATACTTAAGCGTTTCTTTCAACATATCAAACCTAGGTGGTAGCGAGTTCAGGAGGAGTATAGCTTGTACCTCATCGGGTACTTCAATGCTGAGATGACTTAACTCCCCAATGATCTTTAGGAAGTCATCTATATTTTCGTCGATCGTTCTCTGATCCTGCATCTTGAATCCGTATAGCTTGAGTTGAGAGTCCACTCTATTCGGTAAGGACTTAGGCATGAACTGTCTTTCGAGGATTGCCCAGGCTTCAGCAGCCGTAACACAATTCTCGATCTTCCGTAGTACTCGATCTCCGACGTTTAGGCATATGATGTTAAGCGCCTTTTCGCATCACTCTAATCTTTTGCATCCTCTGGTTTCTTCTTAGCTGCATCTGCTTTTATTGGATCTTGAGTATCTTCGTCTTCTTCCTTGCTTGGCTCCGAATCTTCTGGTTTTGGCTCGAGAACATCCTTCAGACCTTGTACGCTGAGATGTGCGTACATGCGTCTTTTCCATAGTGAGAAATCCCCTTCGCCGTCGAACGGAGTGATCTCGGATCTCATCACTGATGTCTCCTTCATCTGATCTTCGTCTTCAAGATCTTTAGATCTAACTATACACTCTTCGATCCCACTCTTCGCGATCGCCTCTGCACCGAACAGCCTCGGCTCTGATACCAATTTGTGAGGTTTTACCCTCCAATCGATCGCATTTCAAAGAACAAGAGAAAGAAGATAAGCGAGCTAAAGACGAAAGACACACACAGTTTTACGAGTTCGGGGCAATAACCTGCACCCTACGTCTCGCCGGAAAGATTCCAGAATCCACTAGAAACAGATCGTATCAAGTACAACGGATTTCTCTCTTCTCTCTCTCTAACCCTAATTTCTCGGGTCAGCTTCTTCCACTGGATAAGAGAGATGAACCTAGAAGATTATATGGCTTTATACTTAGCCAATTACATTAGCTCCTCACATGTGCGCGCAAACACGTGCGGAGTAAACCTGATCTAAACCGATTCCAATCTTCCTTATTCCGGTTAAGGACACAACCTTCAAATAAGAAAATTAAAGATGCTTAGTTGCTTACAGATTTATTTTTTTTAATTGTCATTTCATATATATCAAATTTATTTCAGCTTAAATAAAAATTGAAAAAGGATCATTTTAGGTCCATGAAATGGAATGACCAAGCGAGTTGACTTGCAAAAAAGTCCCGGCCGTAGTAGAAACAGGTCTTGTACTTGTACCAAGTTGTTTGTCGGGCACTTTTGATTTTGTGAACATGCATTTGACTAAACAAACGAATATATATAAAAAGTATTTTTATAATTATTTTACAGATAAATACTAATAAACTATCGTACACTCGACCTAAAATTAAAGTTCCGTCCGAAAGTAATAGGAGATTTAGTGTTTGATTGTAATCAACAATTTTTCTTTCTTAAGGGAGGCTTAATAGAGAGTGAAAAATTGGATCGATTTGGTATCAAACTAGGTATGGGAGGTCCGGTTATGGAAAACCAAGAAAACCAAGGAACAGGACAAGAAGATAATGGTATCAACATCCCGGGTTACTCTCTTCTGCGGTGTACCTATACCGGAGCATGCTAAGGATGCACCAGAGCATTTGAAGAAGTTTGTATCCAAATTGTAATTCAAAGTGTATCCTCACCTCTTGTTTGTTGGGGAAGAAGAACGGTATTAGTTTGGTTTGATTGTATCTACCAAACGATTAAATAATTTGCCGCAAATATCAGACATGACAAAGAAAAGAATAAAATTTGAAAACTTATCTAAAAGTGAAAACCAACAAAACGATTTTTGAGACAACTTTGTGTGGGTTTAATTTGTAGATCATTTTATATTTTTAGTAATTAGTATTACTATAATATCTTGTAGAACTTTGTCCAACTCGTGTAGGCATAGATGAGATTTTCAAGCTAAAGGTTCTGTCCAAAAAGCTGGCAATCAAGAAAAAGCTCCACACCATACATATTGTGTATCACATTGTATTTCCCGAATGCGCAGCCTATCTGATATTGGAAGACACCCAGACATTACTTACCATATAAAATGTCGTAACTTCGGAGAGCATTTAACTTTCCATGTGTATACTTGTAATGCATTTATGTCTGGGCCATAGTAATGCGGACATCAACCCATCAAGACGACTCATGGTGATCTCAACACTTGGAAAAACTAGGTGCAACAGACATGAGAGTCTAGCCAAAGGTAAAGGAGAGACGATCTCCCTTGTTGAACAAGTTAATGGCGAAGGAGAGACTACTGTCATTAATTTGTTCTCTCTAGACTCCTATCCCATCACCAAGAAGCCATTAGATCATTCAGTCTTAACCGGACCAAACCAAAGAGGAGGCAACCAATCTATTGAAGACTCTGCTCAACCCAAAAAGAGCCACAAGCCTTGTCCAGGCCGAATGAAGTCCAAAAACAAGTTTTCCAGCCCAACTACCACTTGGATTACATTCCTAGCTCAGCCAGAGCACGCCTCGAAGTGGAATCAGTTCAATTGGAGTTCAGATGAAGGAGATATTAAGTTTATAAATTGGGTGATCCTCAACTTACCCGATTTAGACATATCCGCCTTAATTGGATAAGTCAAACTAAACCAAGAGGAATTAAGCTGTAAACTGACCTTTTCTGGAATCTTGACTCATCAGAGAATCACAGATAATTAGAATCAGACCGAGATCAATTTTGGTTTAGGATATATTCAATCTCTAAACTAATGGAGCCTCCACTTGCCTTATTTGGAACATTCCGAGTTTTGGAGACTTCAAACATATCAGTGGCGCCCAGGAGACTCTGTGTTACTTCTAGAAGCCTTCCACAACATCCTAAGGTGCAACAACACGCATTGGATCAGGCGGATCCTCCCACACCTTCACTTTCCATATCCGAAGCCGAGCTTACCTTATTTGCCTTGTTTGGAGCCAATGGAAATCAAACAGCAACGGCTCTTTCCCTCATCACTTGTGCGCCTTCTTAAGCCTTATTCAGTGAACCTAGACGTCCCAAGACACCACCAATACGCACCCAAGCTTTCAAGACTCAAGGCACCTCACAACTTGCCTTATTTGGACAGATTTTCCCTTCGATGTTTCAACGGCTCTTTTCATTTATTTTGTACGATTTCTTTTGCTTTTCTAGCTTATTACCATTGTCCTTGAGCCCCTATATAAACTCAGTTCGTTCCTCATTGTAAATCACCCCTTGATCATTTTGAAGTTTATAAAACAGTTTTAGTTTTCTTGCAAAGACCAAGTTTCTTTGTATTTGTCTTTAGATTTTTAGTGTGTGAGGCACTTCTGATCTATTGAGCTGCGGATTAAGATTGTTTGAATGATTCAAACTCTCTTGTTCGTTCATTGATTGAGTGAGTCAATCGCCACTCCATTGATTGAGCGAGTCAATCACATCTAACCATCATCTTCATCTCAACATCATTCCACCCTCCGCAAGGATTAAGCTTGGAATCTCTTGATCATTAAATGGTCATAAGTTGGAGTGATTCCAATCGTATATCATTTGGTATCAGAGCTAAAAGCTCCTATCACCAGGTTGTGTTTATCCAACCTTTATCTCTTATTTATTTATTTATTTATCTTTATTTTTCTTTTGTTTCATTTCATTAAAAAAAAAATTCTGTTACAATTTATTTCTATTTTGTTTGAATAAATTCAAAAAAATCTCAAAAGAAATTATTTTTTGCATTGTTTTAATTTTTTAAATTTAAAACAATTAAAAAAACAAAATTTCCTTCGTTGATTTTCTTTTGTTATTTAACCAGAATTAAAATTTCCCTTTTGTTACTTGATATTTCGAAATTTGTTAAATAACAACAAAAAAAAAAGAAAGAAAACTCATTTTTGCCATTTTCTTATTTTTGCAAAATTTATCTCTTTCAGTTTTCTGTTTTTATTTGTTTTCTTCCTATAAATCGAAAATCAAAATAATGATTTGTTTCTTGCTTTCGTTCTTGTTTAATTTGCTTCAGTTTTATTAAGTTTCAAGTTTTCATAAAAAGAAAAGCTATTTAAAAATAAAAAGAGAAATTTTCCATTTAATTTTGTCTTTAATTTTTTTCTCCCATATTTGTTGATATGCTTTTGATTCATCTCTTGTGTCGTTCTCTTTAAACTTTCAAGACCACGACATAGAGAAACAATGGAGTCTTATTACATGGAGAAAGAAGAATTCTATACATACGATTCTGATGGGAGCCAAGAGGATAGTTTGAATGAAGACATAAGCTCCAACGAAGCTGAACATGAAAGAGAACCATGGCATGAAGATGATTATCCAGAATTGGAATTCGAGGATGAGCAAGGCTGCCAAGAGATTGCACCAAAGCCACCAGACAACACATGGAGTTTCACTTATCAAACCCCACACAAATCTGAATCTGTAATGACTTATGATTTTGATTATAATAGGTCTCAGTTTCGTGGATTTTCAGGTGGTAGACGTAATCCCCTAGCATGGAGAGAATCAAGAACTACAAAGACAACAGGAGGCAAGATGAACCAAGGCGTCAAGCTAGACCCATTGCAAGCCAACTCCACCCGCACCTACAAGACAAAATTCAGGTTATCTCTAGATAAAGGTTATAATGAAGATTACAAGTCTCGTTCTCTCACTTTCTCAGGTTTTAGCAAAGAACCAGAAGAGTATCTACGATGGGAAACAAATATGAAGCAGTGGTTAAAGTCTCACAATATCCCCAAAGAAGAGAAGCTATCTTATGCTCTTGATACGTTGGTTGGTAAAGCTTACCAATGGTGGGTACAAGACAGAGCAAGGACGTGTTACACCAACCCAGTCCTTAATTGGGGAGATCTCAAGGCAAGGATGTATAGAGAGTTCGTGAAGAAGCACCAAACACGAAGACACATCCCCACAAAGCCTATGTACCAAGCAACGCCAAAGAGTGTGATGTCAACACCAAAACCCCAACCTTTTGGTGAGCACAAGCAACCTAGCTGCCTTGAACCAAGAAAAGTATTTTCAAACGCTTTGAAGAAAGAACCAGAGGCTAAGCAACCAGTTCTAGTAAAGGAGATTCAACAAAAGCCTATCCCATCACCCTTACTTGAACCGCAAGACACACCAGCTCAAGGTAAGTCCTCTAACTCTAAATTTAAAAGATCCAACATGTTATAGGTGTCATAAGAGAGGACATTTTGCTGCAACTTGCCCTGAAAGAAAAGTAATTAAAATTGCTACACCTGAACAGAAATTGAATTCAAACGAATTTAATACTTGCTTTGTTCAGCCTAGTTTTGAGATTTTCAGTTCAAGATTGATGCACTTGTCTTTGCCAGAGGTTATTGATGCAGGAACAGCACATGACTGGGAGGAAAAAGTAGGCCACGAAACCAGCACTTTTGATCCAAAACACAAGAGTCTAAATGAGCCACCACCATTTGTTGGCCTAGCTGCGGATCAAGGAAAAACAGAGGACACAATTTCATCAGCACCTATACAGGAGCAACACGAGGTTAAATTATATCAGACTGACCCTGAGAAAGATGAAGTTGTCACTAGCTTCACTCCCATCCAAGAGGAGCCACCAGATCCTACATTGAATCCAAATATCGTGTCAACAAAAAAAACAGAACTAATCGACAGTTCTGATCAGGTAAGTAACACATTTTTCACATTTATTTCTGATGATTCTAAATATGTGATAATGAATTTGCTATATCCAGAAACGTTTGAAAAAGTTACAGCACCCATTTCTTGTTTTAAACAACAAAACTGTGAACAACATGTTGCTTCACATAAAAATAATGAAATGGTCCAACCTGAATCATGTTTTTCTGTTTTTAGTAATACCATGACTGCTGTAATGCACTTGTCATTTGTCAAAGGTGTCAAGGACATTGCAGGTATAGAAGAGAAGCAACAAGAGTCCAAACCACCAAAGATCAATGGCGTTAACAAATGTGAAAAAATAGATTTCAAAAAGATGAATGCCCTACTGCCAAATAAAGTCAACAAAAAACCTTTGAGAGGAGTCATTTCCTATTTACTGATCAGAGAAGAACCACCAGACAATCCAAAGCAATCCCACCTGAACCAAGATGGAGAAATGACCCATGGTAAATTTCTAAACTCACATCTTTACCATGATACTAACTTGCTCTATCTTTGTGCAGTTGAACTAGTTTCGAGGACGAAACTTTTTCAAGAGGGAGGGTATGATGCGGACATCAACCCATCAAGACAACTCATGGTGATCTCAACACTTGGAAGAACTAGGTGCAACGGACATGAGAGTCTAGCCAAGGGTAAAGGAGAGACGATCTCCCTTGTTGAACAAGTTAATGGCAAAGGGGAGATGACTGTCATTAATTTGTTCTCTCTACACTCCTATCCCAGCACCAAGAATCGATTAGATCATTCATTCTTAACCGAACCAAACCAAAGAGGAGGCAACCAATCTATTGAAGACTCTGCTCAACCCAAAAAGAGCCACAAGCCTTGTCCAGGCCGAATGAAGTCCATAAACAAGTTTTCCAGCCCAACTACCACTTGTATTACATTCCTAGCTCAGCCAGAGCACGCCTCGAAGTGGAATCAGTTCAATTGGAGTTCAGATGAAGGAGATATTAAGTTTATAAATTGGGT